CTGGAGAAGCACAAGCTTCTCCCCCACTTGAATCATTCTCCCTCCTACAGACAAAGGTTCCACAATAAAACATGTACCAACATTATTTTCACACACATGTCGCATACCAGGGAATACACAACATTAAACAACTTGGCTGGACGGACCGACCTGCTCTGATACCAATTGTAACACCCCACTCTAAACTATCGCGGAAAAATAAGATAAACAACAGAAACAATTCAGAGTGCAGCAAATAAAGTTTCATGACGACCGTCATGGATGTCACGACCGTCACGGTCATGACGAGCGTCAAGGAGCTGTGACGACCGTCACACTCCCAAATTCTGAGACGCATCAGAGGTGTCACATATTCAGCTTACAGAAACAACATGCATCTTCAACAAAATCATTTATTCATATACGTAGCATAAATTTGGATGAACGAACAACGATAATTTGTTTAACATTTTAATCATAAAACGACATGTTATTATACACCTCCAACGATTCGTAATAATTAAATTCCATTAAAATTCAGCAAGTAATTATCTTGCATCAATTCACTAAAACAACTATGCATCCAAGCAACATTTGGCATTATCAGAAACAACCAATCTATTTGCCATAGTACTTAATAAAATTCAGCAACAAGGAATTCAATTTAAACAATAACATTAATCGTTCATCCCCCCAGAGTGCTACGTATCAGAGCGACCAATGACCTTAAACATAAAACGACACTTTCTCCCGAGTTACCTGCAAATTACCACCAACGGAGGTAACATACAACGTAAAGGGTGAGATATCAACAACATAACATAAGGCATGATAAAAGTCATGTCAGGATTATATCATAGCAATTAAGATTCTCGCGGCTTTATAAATATCATAAATAATGACTACACTGATTCATCGCTCATATATATACTACAAAAATCAAGATATCTCATCAACACGCCATCACGGGAAACACAACTCAATGCGACTCAACTATGCATATGCATGTGGTACCATTTTGGGAGACAACACTCCACAATTATTCAGGAGAATCACTCCACAATTATTCGGGAGACTCACTCCACAATTATCCGGGAGACTCACTCCATAATTATTCGGGAGACTCACTCCACAATCATTTTACTTTGTCATTAAAGACACAACCGTCGCCAATCCAGGCCAAATGATATGCTATGAGACGCAACTATTATGGACTATAACACAACAACAACAACTGTGCAACAACCGTGCAACAAGGCATCAAACCTACAACCAATTATCCATAACATAACATCACATTTCGCATACACCATGTACTCACCACTTCAACCTGTTCATGTCAGAGAACAAGTAACAACATCGTTCCTACGAATAAGAATCCAACATATTTTTGCAGAAAACAATTAAAAACAAAATCGTCTCTCCAATTGAGAACTCAACAGCATTTTCATGTCAGAGGACAACTAACAACATCATTACTACAAATAAGAACTCAACACATTTTCATATACTTTCATACGGGTAATATAACTACAACTTCTAATTTAATTAAATAGGGACATAATAACAACACCTTCTTAATAAATGGAAAATAGCGCGTGTCGGCACCGTTTCCTAATTTCCCCCAAAATTAATGGCATAACACACTCATTCATACACAGATATGCATTAACCCTTAGAAATACACAGGTAAACATTAACCCTTAATATTTCTTCAACTTACGGGAACATTACTACGGTAACGTTACTACGGGAACGTTACTACGGAAACGTTACTACGGTAACGTCACTACGGTAACGTCACTACGGGAACATTAATCCTTAATATTTATCGATCTACAGGAACATTAATCATTAATATTTATCGATCTACAGGAACATTAATCCTTAATATTTATCGACCTACAGGAACATTAATCCTTAATATTTATCTATCTACAGGAACATTAATCCTTAATATTTATCGACCTACAAGAACATTAATCCTTAATATTTCTTCAACTTACGTGAACATTATTACGGTAATGTTACTACGAGAACGTTACAGGAACATTACTACGAGAACATCACTACGCTAACATTACTACGATAACGTTACTACGGGAATATTAACCCCATGATTCCATACCCTTCATGAAATCCATCATACACACAGTTATAGAATTAAACTCCACCCTTACCTTTGGATTGAGGACAACTTTAAACTTCCGGTTTCGGTTTGCTCTCCCGGTGACTCTTCTGCAACAACCTTCAATTCTCTCCGGCGGTTAATTCTTTTGTTCTTCCTTTCTCCACAACCACGTCCTTTTTCCTCTTTTCTCAGCCTTTCTCCTCCAATTTGGTTTTCTGAGCAGTTTATCGTTCTTTTCCTCTTTCTCCCACAACTTCTCTAATAACTCCCTAATTCCCCTTATTCTATCCAATAATAATAATAATAATAATAATAATAATAATAATAGTAATAATAATAATAATAATATACTATTACTACTAGTTATTAAATTATCATCATTATTCATTATATTATATTATTATCAAACTCAATGATTTATTAAATGGTTTCCTATACTTTAAGTACACCCACCAACGCTTTCAGACACACTCCCACATAAAGGTACACCAACAATTCATAAATAATTTAATTAAAATGAACGGGCGTTACAGTTACCAGAAATCTCATTGTTTGAATTATCAGGGGATTGCTCTACACTAGCATTGTGAGCATTAGCACCAGAATTGCGCTGCAGATGCGGTGGGACACCATGCTTTCGATAACATGTGTCTACTGTATGCCCAGATTTCCCACAAAAGGTGCAAATTCGCTGCCAAGATTTCTTGAAAGGAGGTCTTTTGCTATCAGCAGAGTTGATTAAGACCTTGAAATCATCATCATCAGTGGGAATCGAAAGGGATGGAATTGGGGAAATTTGTCGCTCATGTTGAATAACCATTGAAAAGATTTTGTTCAGCGGAGGCAACAGATCAAGAAGCAAGATTTGAGATTTTACGACATTAAAATCATCATTCAGACCATTATTCAGACCATTTAAGAAACGTATAACATATAGAAAACTATGATTAGCACGAGCACTATGCATAGCTTCGCAAGAACAACGGATACGACAAGAACAATGAGGTATGGGCATATACAATTCCAATTCTTCCCATAGAATCTTAAGCTTAGAAAAGAATTCGGTTACCGTGCGATTGTCTTGTTTGAGAGAATAGATTTCTTGCTGCAATTCCGAAATTCGAACCAAATCTTCCTGCGCAAAACGTTCTTTCAAATCGTTCCAAACGTCCATCGCATTCTCCATAAACACGATGGATTGCCCTATGGAATCCGATACAGATCGCATAATCCACGAATGCACTAACATGTTGCATCGTGTCCAAGCTCGATAGGATGGATCGAACAAATCTGTTGGAACTGGAATTGTGCCGTCAACAAAATCGAATTTCATCTTTCCTCCAAGAGCTCTGCGCATTGATCGCGCCTAGCTGTGGTAGTTCGATCCATTGAGAAGTGGAGTAATCGAAATGGAGGAGGGACCATCACTTGGATGTACATAGTAGGGACTGGTTTGGTCAAGAATCGGATCAGATAACGTATTAGCGTTATTACGAGATGGAGCCATGGAGTTGTAGGCTCACTGATACCATATTGAAAGATTGTGAACAGAATCCATGGATGAAGAAGAAGGAGTGTAACAGAAAAATAACAGAAGAAGAAGAAGTTTGTAACAGAATGATAACAGAAAAAAGAGAGGATAATAGATGAATTGATCACAAAATGTATTGGCTAATATTATCTCATTTTGGATGATGTGTACAAGTGTCATGAAGCTACTGTATATACAAAGAATACTAGCACTAAAGAACAATGAATATCATCCGCAAGATTAAACCAATCTAGACCATTGAATACTTCAACACCTTTTATGAAGGCAATCAACATGACCAAACTCAAGGCATCTATACTAATGTTGATCTTCTGATTCACGCCTCACCTCCTATAAAATTGAATAACATCTTTGCAGCTGACAGCTGACGCATTACATTTTTTTAAATTGTAGTTTTTCTCTTGATTTTAGCTTTGTAACTAAAAAAATGCTAAAATAAAGTGAGACCTAAAACTCTAGACTCACTTGTCAAATTTTTGGGTTGGTCATGACAATAATGTTAATAAAACGATTGAACTGTACAATAATTTTTTTACACACGGAAAAAATAACAATTATAATTTTTTTAGTTGAAATTTAAAGAAATTTTATTTGAATATTTTTTAGAAAATCCACAATATATTTTTTTTATAAATTGTAGACAATATTTTTTATTATCATTTTAATCTCTTTTTTCTTTTTCTTGTTACATAATTAATTATAAATAATATTATTTCTATCTAATGATGAAATATAATGTCAATATTTTAAAGCTAAAATAACACTGCTCTATAAAAGATATTTACAAAATACTAAAAAAAAACAAAATCTAATTTGGAAGTTAATGCTCAATGGGTATGGTGGGGAGTCTTCCACATAGGCAGGGCCCGTGACGACAATTACAAGGACGGTGTAAATATCAACGGCAACTCTTGGATTCATCTATTTCCACGGACCACCTAATGTATTTGTTTTGTTCCTACATAGTACTAATCTCTAGCTTAACAATGTTTTCATTCTTTTGTTCAAAATATTAAACAAACACAATCGTTCAATTTTCACCCGTCAAATAAATAAGCAAAAAAGAATTTTAATAGTAACTTTTATAAATTGAATTGTATTTAAAGAAAAACAAGAAATATATTTTTATACAGAATTTTAAATTATTTATTTTCCTGTAAAATATAAATTATTTTGTCCGAAAAAATGGGATAGTAAAACCAAAATGAGATGTGCTACCTGGCAGAATAAGAAGAAGCCAGCTAGTAGAAACCTAGTTTTGTGGTGAGGTTGAGATAACAAGATTCATCTTCACTCTTTTCGTTCAATCAATTTCACAAACACCTTCTCTTCACTCTCTCAAAATCTCAAATCAACAATGGCAACCTCTCTCACTTTCTCCAGGCTCCTCTCATCTTCCACCACCGCATCACTCTTATCTCCCAAAACCAAAACCCTATCTTCCGCCTTCACCCTCCCTTTCAAACTCAACCGTCTCCACCCAAAACCCCTCAGATTCTCCTCATCCCCAAAAATCTCCGCCACACTCTCCGTCGGCGACAAGCTCCCCGAGTCAACCTTCTCTTTCCTCGACCCCGCCGGCGAGGTCCAAACCATAACCGTTTCCGACCTAACAAAAGGCAAAAAGGCCGTGCTCTTCGCCGTCCCGGGAGCCTTCACACCCACCTGCTCCCAGAAACACGTCCCGGGATTCGTCCAGAAATCAGCCGAGCTAAAAGCGAAAGGCGTCGACACCATCGCCTGCATTTCGGTGAACGATGCGTTCGTGATGAACGCGTGGAAGGAGGACTTGAAGGTGAACGATGAAGTGCTTCTTTTGTCCGACGGTAATGGTGATTTCACTCGGGCAATTGGGTGTGAACTCGATTTGAGTGATAAACCAGTTGGATTGGGGGTTAGGTCAAGGCGTTATGCTTTGTTGGCTGAAGATGGTGTTGTTAAGTTCTTCAATTTGGAAGAAGGTGGAGCTTTTACCTTCAGTGGTGCTGATGATATCCTTCAAGTTCTCTGAAATTTTTGGGTTGTAACATGAGTTTGTTGTTTCTTCAATCGGTTTAGGTTGATGCACTTCTTTAGATTTGGTTTTCTTAATAATAATATGGATTTGATTTGACCTAATTTGGTGTTAATTGGTTTCAACTGGTGTTGTTGTGTTAATTATCATTATCTTGTGCTGATGATAAAAAGTTGAATTTTTGTGGTGATTTGATTGCATTGGGAATTATAATTGGACTGTTTGAGAAAATCATGGTGATGATGAAGCCTTGCTAAAATCACATTGATGCAAAGTGATTATGTCAAACTTAAACATGTGTTGAATAGTTGATAATTTACTGCATTATCCATATCATTTCTGTAAGGGTGAAAATTTTATTAATCATGGTTTTGTGAATTCTTGAAAAGAGTTGGAAATACAGTTGTTTTATAGTGTTATTTTGATAGAAAGCTGTTACATACAAGTGTATGAATGGATGAAAATCAAGTTGAAGGTTTGTAACAGTTAGATAGATGAGCTGAAAATGGTTTAACTTCCTAGTAGCTATAGCCTCTCAATGGGATGGCACTTTAATTCTCTTGTCTATTATTTGGGAACATGAAATATAAGCAAAGTAGACAAAGCTTTGCTTTTTCGGTTGATATTAGAAAATGGAAAATCAGTATGTATGACTATGATTGTTGTTATAAATGTTTGGTTATTTGAAACGTAGATTGAATCAGGATATAGAAGCCACGAGTCTTATTATGCAGTCCAAAAGACTGCACTAATGTGACGTGACTTTCTTTTATTTCTTCACTACTTTTATGTACTATGGTAACTTAAATGTCTACTTAGATAATTTAAATCTAGTGGAATAGAATTGAGTATAGAATAATATAGTTAATGTAAGGAAAAATTTAGAGGAAAAAATTGTAATTGTTTTACTCATTTATTCTAAAAATTTGTAATTGTTTTACTAATTTATTTTATTTCACTGGATACATCTTAATTTGAGTGGAATGAAAAATAGGCTAATATAATGGTATTGGATAGAACGAATGCCATCACATTACATTCATTTTTTATCACATTTTATTCCATTTATTTTTTATAAAACTAAATATTGGAATATGACGTTATTACACTACATTCAATTTCATTCCATTATTTTTCTATCAATCTAATGAGACTATGTCTTTAGATAAAGGAAAATATTAGGAAATTGCTGTAATCCATAGTCTATAATTAGTGTTTCAAACCATAAAATCTTAAAATCTCAGTTGGAAAACCGAGATCATTGATAATTTATATATAACACTTACTCTTCAAATTGAATCGAGATCATAAACACTATACAATAAACTTGAGGTGGATCGGAACATTAACATTAAAAAAAGAACATTAACATTAAAAAAAGATTTTGGACCCACATACTTGAAGTTTAGATCCTTTAATCCGAGATGTACCAATCCTTTTGAAATATTTAATTAACAATCTTTAGTCCCTCAGATGTAATTCAAGAGATTTAAGATTTAATTAACTATAGTTGGAAACCAACTAGAAAAAAGAATCCATCCTCTCTATATCCAACAACACACTCGTTGCACCTTCTAATCTCTCCAAACCATAAAGGGTCATTTAACAAACATATTAAATTAACAAGATTAGGCTTTAACAACAGACTCCTTGCATTTTTCAATCTCTCCATACCACAAAAGGCCACTTAACAAACAATTTAAATTAATAAGATTAGGTTCCAAATACAAAGCCTCGGTCCAAAAACTAAAAACTCTATTTATTAGAGTTCGAGATTTTGACTTGTCACTCCAATTATACTTGACATTTTCCATATTTTTAAATTGTCAAAATTATTTTTTTTTGGCTAAAAATTGAATGAAATTTTTTAGACAAAACAAAATTTTCAGTATATCGTAAATTTTAAAATTTTCGATTGTTTCAATAAATTCAAGGAAATTTAAAATTTACTAGTTGATACCACAAATTTCAACCTAAGTGAATTTTTCGCTAGTGTTATTTGTTTGAAATTTTAAACGTTCGGGATTTTACTGATTGTTTTGGATGACTATAATTGCACCGACAATTTTGTGTGGTCTAAAGTAAATGCAAAGTTGTATAAATAAGGGAGTCACCTATTATTTGATAAAAACATCTAAAAATATGTCTCATCCTCAATTTTTGAGTAAGGTAGAAATGTACTTCAACGGAGTTTCACCTCTCGCAATGTTCCGACTTCCGGACGACACCACATCTCTAGCCGGCCTGACATCCAAGTTGAATAAATTATTGTCTGATACTAAAAACAGAAAGGTGAGAAAAATCGAGTTTTGTGAATATTGGATTGATACTGACGGGAGGGTGAAATACAATCTCATTGAGTTGAAGACCGATGAAGATGTGAAGGATATATGGAGATCATTTCACAGTCGGATAAAAAAGGGGCTGATTGAGTTAGTTGTTAAGATTTCAAGGCCCGTCGACGACATAATTAAGATGATGAAACGTCCAAAATCATCTGGTTGTGTCTAGGTTTTCAATTTTTTAAATCGTTTTTTAAAGTTATGATTAAGTTATGTAATCCATTTTCAAATGTTAGTTAATATTGATGTTGTATCAATGGGAGATCAAAAAATATTATCTAATAAAAAGTTATAATGAAGATGTCTGAGTGATATACAAATAATACATAATAAACAAAAAATCTCTAAATAGGCCCTACGGGCTATGTGTGCAGTCCTAGATAATCTAGTATAAATCTCGTCATATGGGTTTACCAAATCCATGAGGTTATCCATAATAGCTGGAACCATCTGGAAGCGTTGCTGGTCATTAACATCAGTTGGAGGAGGCAGTGACGACACGTCATCAACAGGCACCCCAACATCAGAAGGCCCAACATCTGTTGTAGACGGGATGATGCGAGGGTGTGATACAATGAGGTACCACTCTAAGTAACTATCCTCACATTGCGAGGGGCGTTGAACCGTAACTGCTTGATCTCTAATGGCACGACTAGAGTTGATGAAGTTACTATGAAACCACCAATCAATGCCCGTAGATGGTATATCTGAAACTAGTCATGGGATACTCTGAACATAACCATACTGTCGCATAAACCTTTCCGACAAGTGTTTAGGAACTGTGGTCTCCCACTGCATATAACTTGAATATAATGAAGACTCCTCGAACTCACAGTGGACTATATGACTAGTGTATGGTGTTTAGATGACATCATCTATAGTCAGCGCATCGAGCCTCCTCTTGTACTCAGTAACACCACCGGGATTTAACCGCCTGCCCTTCCATCTCCCCGTCCGTGGGGACCCCACTAGGGAATGCTACACCCTCATGTCACAGATGATGAGAAAATGCTCATATATCCAACACTGATCTCAAAACACAGACACAAGAAATAATAAATCAGAAATGTTATTCATAACAATTAAATGAGAAATCAACAACAAATAATAATTTCAAGTATACCTATAACAGACTCAAATAACTAACAAGCTATTTGGTCTTTATTATTGTCGCCACTCCAAGTGTTGTATACAAAATGGTCAACGCAACACACCCCCAAGCCTAACTGGTAACCTCAAGTCTACTGAACAGACACATGTACCAGGCGTCGATATAAACATCATACTTGTTTGCAAAGAGAGTACATGCTATTAGATGTAGCATGTACACCCTAGCAACAACCTCATAACTCCCAGCCGCTACAAGCTCATCGTATGTCTTCCGAAGCCAAGACATTCGAAGGTGAGCATCCTTGCTGATGCCAAACTCCTTATACATGACCGTCTCAAAAACTCTCAAATATCGTGCAGCAGTCATACATGTAAGGACATGCTAAGAACAAGATTCGTCTAGAGTTTGCCGTCGATGGGGAGATGGAATAATAAGGAGATATCATCTAAAGCGATAGTAATCTCTCCAAACAGAAGATGAAATAAAGATGTCTCCTTGTTTCATCTCTTAACAAACGTAGTAAGTAGTGGAGCGTCGAGCATGGTGAGGGAGCAATGGGCAAAATCAAGGAGCTCAAACTCCCGTATAACTCAGCGGACCTATTAAGGCATTGGAATCTTCGGGAAGTCCTTCAACTTCGACCCGTGAGATATCACCTTAAGTGTGGGACACTCATGTGACAAAACAAATATAATTAAATTAGTAGTTATCTTTCATGGCACAATAATAAACAAATTAAAGTTAAACATAAAAGACATATACCTCTCTATGCCATAATCGTAATGCCACATGGTCAGCATACTCAGTAAGCACCGACCGATCAGTGGGTTCTCCAGGGAATCCTTCTTCAGTGTACACAGAGGACTCAGTCAAAGAATTGTAACCTCTGTGTCAACAGTAACACATGGGACTGAATCAACAACAACAACATCTAGCTGAAGCACCTGAGCAACAACCTCATAAACAACTACCTCCTCAACAACCTCCTTAACCACCAGATCAACAATCTCCTCAGCAGCCACCGAAACAAAAACCATTGGATCATCAACAACAGCATCTGGCTACACCACCTCATCTCTGGGATGCTCTACTGATCGTACCGATTAGTGTCAAGTGTTATGAGATGCGCAAAACTCGCCCTTCTCAGCCAACCGTTTTTAATGTGAACCGGTTAGGACCATTCGTCCAGCTCGTATATGGGAAGACTTAGCCTCAGCAGCCATAACCTAGTCTCCCGCTTTATCAATAGCTCTGTCTGCAATAGTGTCATATCAGCCCC